GAAAGGTACACAACAATTATGATTATCAGTTATGTTATTTTATTCTGACTGTTTAATTATTCACAAATTGAGTTTAAAAAATCGATAAATTGAAAAGTATTCTAAACGATCGGTATTGGCAGGTATCAAATGTATCTTACCCGGTTTTTCGTTTTAGTGGGTTTTTGATAACTGATCTTTTTGAATTAGTTGAATTTTTAAAAAATTATAAGTCCTAAAATAATAATAAAAAAAAGACTTTTTTTTCAATCAAACAAAACTATAAAATTGGTGAAAAATGCATTTTAAAAATGTTGACGACCTCCGTTATCGTATTATTTTAAAGATTTTGAGTGTCACGGATAGTTCGAACTTATGTTCAATAACGACATGAATATACGTGTACTACTGCAGGTACCGATCTATTTATACTAGCGAAAGAGAATTTTTAAACTATCCTTTTTTTTTTTTTTTTAGTCAAATTTTTCCGCGGACGCACGGAAACGTAACGCGTACAGAGTTTTTTGTATCATTTTCTTCAAACATTTAAAACGTACGGTAAATTCGGTTTAAACGATCTACGTCTCGTGGGCGCATCACAATACGGGTTACGGCCCCTAGATATGTTATTGTCGCGCGGAAACGACGAATCTCGGGATCCGCCCTAGATTTTTTTTTTCCCCATTATTATTTCTTTCCGGGTTGAGACGTTATAATGTTATTATATTGTCGTACAATACCGGAAGTCGTATAAAATACGTTTGTCCCACGTCGTTGCGAACGTACCGTTTTCCAAACGGGAACGACGGGACGGGATGATTACGGTGGGGGGGGGAGCGCAGGGGTTTGAAACGCGCATATTTATATGATTGCGGGCGAAGACGGGATACGTTATGAGAACGAGTGGCGATGTGGGGTGGAGGGACGGTGCGCGCGAGGGGTCGTTATTATTATTATTGTCGTATTTCGTCGTATTATCGTCGTAGTCTGCCGGCGCGCGTGTGTGTCGTCGCCGCGAAGGATTAATGCGGTCGGGCGTCTGTCAGCGCCGCGCGGCGCGCGATCCGAAAAGTAATGAAGAAGTTAGCCGTCGGCGGCCGGGGCGGCGGCACGCGGGCGCGGACGGATCGGAAACGCGCGGCGAGGTGGCGGCCGGCGCAGGTTAATAACAAAATCCCATTACGTTTTGTGTCACATCCACAACACAATCGCGCGCGCGACCGACGACGTCGGTTGGCGGGTACCGGCGCCCCGGCCACCGTTACCGCATGCCTTACCCGTCTCACCGTTTACCTCTTGGGTCTGACGGGTCTTTTATTATTATCATCATCACCATTATTATTATTATTATTATTATTATTATTATTATACGCGTTATCGAGTTGACGATGACCCGCCGCCGCCGCGGCCGTAAACGCGAACTTTCCGTACCGGTTTCGGACGGTTTTCGTCTCGTCGACGCCGCGTCGGCTTATTTACCACGTTACGCACGCGGATTTAGCGCTCGGCGCCGCACAACGTCTGTTCCCGTTTTGCACGCGGTGGAATCAATGGGCAGGCTATACGTGCGAAGGGTCGCGGGAAAAAAAATCAGAAAATTCGCTCTTTTTTTCTCCAAAACGACAGTATCGGTAACAAAAGATTATTCGTATTGACGTATGATCGTATCTTTTATGCGATCGAATCGGCTCAAAAATGACCTTCACAATGCACCAACTAGATAGGATTTCCTTTCGGAAAAGGCGCTACACTTGATACATCGAAGCAAGATTTACGGTAGAAAAGTTGTTTACAGACAGAAAAGATAAGCGTTTTTTTTTTGTTATAATCTGCTTGACGAATTTCGTTCATCGTCAAAAGTCTGGATCGTTATAATAACAGATCTTATGTAGTTGTAGGCAAAAATGTACGGGAAATGTTCAAAAAAAAAATGTCCTGTGGTAAAAATGATTGGCTTGTACACTGTAGGTATAGCTAAATAAAAAGAACTAGCCCAAGTCGATAGGAACAGGTTTTACATTAACATTGACAATAATATTTTTAAATTTTCACTAATTAACAATCACACTACGTTCGCAATGCGTCAAAAGAAATTTATTAAACTGTAATTCCACTTTAACTACGGATTTGTCCAATAACAACCCAAAATTAATCAGAGATCACTCGCATCCAACTGATTCAGACTGATTAATATTATTATTACGTATCAAATTTATTATTCATATTTATAAATTATAATTATATAGGTATTATACTTTTTACCTCCGGACGTTTTTCCCCGGACATTTTGGTGGACCTCTTTTATGTAGTGCCATTTGATAAAATACAAACGAAAATAATACTGTCAGCAGTTGCGAACACGCGTGTTCGCTATTAACGCCTTTTTGTTTTGAATAACGAGTTATCAATCAATTACATGTTACATTATCACTCATAAGTGCCAATCTACTTGATTGTCAATCGACAGTCGAACATGTTTGATATTCATCAGTCAAAATATTATGTGATTGTCAATTGTCGTCATTCATACTATTGGTATGATACCAACATACCTTCAGTACTCAATCTTGACAATAAATCATAAAAATAAATTATTCAAAATGTATAGTGTATACGGTCCCCTAAAATTTGCTCGCTGATTTGTGTGGCCACGGCTATCGTCATCACAACGCGCTAAACACGCCTGCTACGAAGTCCAAAAACTATTCGTACAGTATTTGTTTCATTTAGTAAATAACTATTAATTCTTCTTTTTTCAAAGACGGTGTAACTTCGATAATTAAAAATATGTTATGTTCAATAACGTTAACGATATTATTTCACTTTTTTCTCATTTGATTTGGTTTTAAATTATTTTATAGCGACAATTTACAACACACCAGATAATGCACGTGTTTACTTCGTTTTACGAGTTTATCAATTTGCTTGTTGATGTTTATGTCGTTTTTAAAACAATATTTTCCAGTCACCTATATATATAAACTATTATACCTCGTCTTCAGCGTTTTGTCATTCACGAATAAACTGTACTTTATTGCAAACTTAATAACGTTGTTAAAAAGTTAAGACGATAATTTATTGTACTCTTTGGATAAGTCAACAAATTTCAATTTCTGAACGAATTATATGGTTAGATATATATTTACTAAGATGTAAACATATTTTAAATTAATTTTCTAGTTTTAATACTTAATGAAAACAATTTATTATGCAAACGCTGACACTCTGATCACTGATAACTGACTGACCGGATACTGAACAAAGATAAGATGATATGATGCGACGTTGGATTAGACAAAATTACAATCATCGTTATTTTATAGCACTGTTTTACAAAATTCTACGTAAATTGCGATTAATACCACTGTGATTACGGCGATAAAACATACAATAGTCTATATTATATAATCGTGATATACATTCTGTGTTCAGTTTTACAAAGTTATGTCTACTAAATATGATTGGACGCATTGAGCAAAAAAAAAAAAACGTACTTATCAGGCATTCGATCATCGAAACCTATAATATACCATTGGCGCTCCTATAAATTTGCCGGCCCGGCGCAAGAGCTCCGTTCACACCTGTGTTCGCACTCGGCCGCGCGATAAACCGCGTACTGATAAATAATTTTCTGAACTCCTCGAGACGACGTTCGATACGCGCCGGCCCGTGATACACGTGGAGAGAGGGAGGAGGGGGGGAGGGAAACCGATTGACGAATCGGGGACCGATCGGCAACGCGATATCATTGTCGGAGGGGACGCGCGTATTAAAACTTATCGGTACACGGACGACAAATCGCCGCCGGTCCGCGCGTTCAATCGTCCGTGCGGCGTCCCGCAGCGGCGTGTAAAATCGACGGCACGGGCGCCCGCAGTCCGCGGTGCAGTATACCTGCACGTGTGTGTGCACGTGTACGGGCATTCCGAAAATCCCCGTGTACACGACTGTCATAAACCACGTTTCGCGGGTCGACCGCGCGTGCCCCCGGGCGGAATTTACGAAACGCGCGCGGACGGGAGACGGGCGCGGGGGAAAAAAAAAAAATAAATAAATAAATACCCGGTATAACCGCATCTCCGGGCACGGGTCTCGTCGGATTACGATTAAATGAGCCGGATAATAGCTCGGCATTTGTTCGGATTTATGTGCGCCGCGCGAATACCGGCGCGTGTGTGCGTGCGCGTTCGCTTATAAACTGCCGGCGGCGCCGTGTAGAGATAGTTTCGCCTTTTGGCGGCGCCCATTATCCGTCTCAACTCGCGCGCGCACCGTACATAACGTCAAACGGTCCATCCGATTCTCGTAAACATCTTTCGCCTTTTCCCCTCGGCGGTGGCGGCGGCGTTACATTATATAGGTAGCTGGTGTAGCTGTAAGGGTATACCGTTTGTTCCACCTGCGCGATTTCGCCCGAAAATCCTCGGCTGTTTGCAGACATTGCGCGCGTTCCAGGAAATAACGCGGTAAACGACGATGTAATAATTACGTTAGCCGTAAATTACCGTCAAACAGCGGCGGGTTTCCTGCCCGCGATCACACCTGTACCGGCAGATTTTAAAGCGTCGTCGCGACGCGATTCGCGAGCCTGCCACGCGCGTGCGTATCTGGAACCGAATCCGTAAAAACCGTATCTCGGGTGTGGGGGATGGAGTTCCGAAACAGGCAAGGACACGACGGCGGACGGTTTTCGTTTGGCCGAATCGACATAAAATCACATGCCGTTCGGGCGTATTTATACATATCATTTGGACGAAATTTATACAGCCCTATAGTTACATTAACCGTACGCAGTGTGAAAAATCGGATTTTCAAAAATTATTTCAATATTTGGTCTGGCTGTCTCACAGATACAAGCTTCCCATCAGTTTAGATAATGAATTATAAATACATCATGTTTTTCCGGCGTCAACATTTGTATAATACATATTAAAATGCTACAATATATACAATTGTACAAGCCGCAAACAAATGAAAATAAATTTAATTCAATTCTTTCGAAAAATTCTATCGTTTTTTCTTGCGTAAAGTTACCCATCTTAATTTATTATATCTTTGAATACCCATACGGTAACGTACAATTTTTTTTTTTTTACAAAATAACGAAATAAACAAATTGATGATGACGAACGGAAGAGAACACCGAGGCGACGGTAATATACTGTGAAAACTCCGAGGACGAAAACCTCGGGTGAGGCCGTGCCGGGAGAGACGGACGGCGGTCGCGAAAAAAATATATTCCATAAAGTATAATTCGTCATAGTTTTGAAACCGGATGGACGTAGAGAGCATCAGAGTCAATACACGAATGCGGAGCAATAGATAAACGCTAGCGATTCAAACATTTTTCGACTCCCGCATTCTCCCGTTTTGGGGGTTACGAGTGTGTGCTCAAACGATTTTTCGATATTTGTATTCGATTTAAATACTATTATATTTTTCCGCGGACGTAAAACTATTATCTAACGAACACACTTACATATACGGGCCGGAAAAAAACTTTGTTCCGAACATTCCGTCTTCGGCATACGTCTCGACATCATATTATTACACGCTACGCGCGTATCCCGACGTATAATATTATATTACGTTTATCGGTCCGAAAGTTACTTACCTTTGTCTTGAGACGCGCAAGGGCTTTCGCAGATACGGATGGCGGGTGGGACCGTGGCGCGGGGGCGGAAGACCAGTCCGTTTTATGTAACCGAGCCGAAAGAACTTTTTGTGCTAAGGTTTTCGAGCAATCGCCCGGACAATAACGCCGCGCCAAAGGGATGCCGTAAAGGAAAAATTGCACACAAACCGACTGCGATCAAGTCAGTCGACTAGTCATCCGCCGCCGCCGCCGTTTTAGCCACTCCTATGAGACTGACTTCACACGATCACTTACCCCGGTGGTTTTAATTACAAATCACATACTAGGCTCGCGCGTTGAGCGCGCCTGTTAGATGGATAACCCTGATAAGTACTGTTTTCATCAACCAGGCCTGGAGGTTCTGCAACGTTCGGCCGCCGGTTTGACGCTGTTTGGTTTCGTGTCGTTTTCATCTCACAAAGAAAAAGAAAGAAAGATTGACATACCTCGCACGTGGGCGCAGTCACTGTTGTAGGTGGAAATTTAGGAAGGTAGGACACAGACGGGAATTTAATGTACATCTGTAAGCAACGATAAACCATTGTTAACGAAAAAACGATTTAGAGTGGAGTTCAGCTGATAGTGTGGTTTTGTCAACAATATATATGTCATACTATAGTAAAATAATTACAAACGCATTAAACATCATCTTTAATATTTGATTAAAATATTATACCTATTTTCCCGTTCTCCCTTTCTTTTCGGGTTTTTCCCATTTGTTTGGGAAAAATTCCCGAGAAAATCAAAAAATGATCTCTTTAAAGTACCTACCCAGTAAATCAAAGCAAAATTGCTGATAGAAAAGTATCAACTTTTCTGATTTGTTAACACACAGATAAAATAAAATATAAAAAAAAAATCAATGTAAAATCACAAGCTCCACAAAGAATCTAAAACATGAAGCAAAACACAGAGATATCGAGTGGATAAAAACAACACTACTTACGGTGGGGACCGCGAAAAATTACAGCATCCACCTCACCATTTCCATTCGATGAAAAATGGTACACCAGTCTGTGCGTGTGGGCAGAATCAAACCATCAAACACGTAGTTGAGGTATGCTCCCTAACAAAATATGAAGGAGGAATAGAAGAACTCCACAAAGGTGACAGTGAGGCACAAGAGTGGCTACGTAGTCTTCAACCGCACTTCTAGTGAAAAAAATAAGTTTTGTCACATGAAATTTAAAAAAAAATTTAGTCCCACTCTAATTGCAATTGAAAATGAAAAACGATATAAATCGGTATACTTAAAGCGGGTCGCACGTATGGTATGTCCCTCCTCCCACGAAAAAAGATCTCCATCATATATAATATAAAACTAAACTTAATGTTTAAAATAACTGTTTTTTTTATATTTTATACGATTATATTTTTTTTTTTTTATAAAAACTTGAAAAAAAGCTGGTGACTTTTGCGAGATATTGTTTTTTTTTTTATCGATATTTTTTCGAGTCTTCTCAATCATAATATGCCTGTGAAATTGTCGATTTTATTTCCCACGCTCCTAAAAAAAAAATACCCAGACCCCTGAATCTACCAGCATATATTATTATACGTATTTTGTTTCCCGCACAAATGCTGACAAATGAGCATTGTATATTGTATATAAAATTAACAATCTAAACGCGTTTTAGTTTATTTCACTTGTTCGCAGGAATAACGTGGGTCGGAAAAATCGGGAAATCGGACGAATCGTTCGGTTCGCGTTTTAAAAAATAAATAAATAAACCGACCGCTATTAGAAATGTCTGCGCCGGACCTTCGGCGGGACTTTGCTATGCAGAATACGTTTTATTTTTTTCCGCCAAGTCTAGCCGTGTATTTTTTTTTCGTCGGTTCCCCGAGAGTTATACTATAATACCGGCGCGGCGTGGAGGAGAGACAGAGAGGGATAGAAAAAAAAACACGTCCGTCCGAGATAGCCTTTGGGAATAATTCAAAAGAACCCCTCGGCAGAATAATATGTTCGACACGCGCGCACGACGTATATATAGTGTTCAACACTATGCGCCCCGTGCGAGTAGTTTTTATATAGTAACGAGTAGTATTTGAACACGGCTCCGATATGCAAACACGGACTGTGAGCTATTTTTTTTTTTCCATCGCTCGGAATTCTTATATATACGAAATTCAATTGTGCGCGCGTTTTTCTTTTTTCCAAAGACTCTATCGCGCGTATTCTTTTCATTTTTTCCCCGTGCAAGACCACCAGCACTTGATTGACCGTCAGCCACAAACACTTTCCGCGTGAATTCGCGTGTTCTGCATATGCAATGAACAACATCCGGTATATACACGAACAATATACAATATACGTCCGCGCGCGCACACACACACACACATTTACAATACATGTACTTGTACATAGGCAATAATTCCGAATCGTCCTCCGAAAATACGGGTATTTTATTGTATATTTTCCGGCCGTCGTCGGAAAAAATGCCTTCGTGTGTGATGCCGTGTAAAGAGACGACACGTATTTCTATTATTTTCTCTTCTCCTTTTAAAACTAATATTTTAGTAGAGTGTTTTTTAAGTAACATAATAAGAATATGTAAGTACGAAATATACTGCCTCGATTTTAGATTGTGAGTGTAACTACTACAATGCTTTATTAGTCTGTTGTATAATATGCTGTATAATATTTACTCTCGAAAAATACATTCACGGCTAGTAAAAACCCTACGAAATTTGTTCACGTTATATATCCATTTAAAAGATGCGGATTTTTTGCATGGCAGTACTTTATTTCAAAAAAAAAAAAAAAAAAATGTCTAGATTCTCAACAGTTTTTCTATAGAATTCAAGAGACTTACAACTGCAAATGTCGGTTTTATTTTTGTTGATTTATAGCGGTTACCGTCTGGATTACGGGGCGAAACAACGTGAACTATATTAAGTAATCCGCTTGGAATCGTTTTTCTGTCAAATAATATTTCTAATTACATCACTTATTTGTCCTATATGTTTATTGTACTGCACGAATGGATTTTTTTTTTAAACTAAATTTTTTAAGATTTTCCAATTTACTTTGTAAATAATATTATAGACTTTCCGAGTTTCTATAATTATTAAAATTTATAACAAGTAGTTTAATCCGATTTACCGAAACTTTAAAACTACAGAATATTTATATGCAGTTGACGCCGTCCACCGAGCTTTTATAAAAACGTTTCATGATAGTCTGCATTTGTTCATTTTAAATTCTTCTACAAATAATAATTCTTCATATAATCATAATTGTATGATAGTTATCTACTTAATAATAATATCAACGCGAATCGCTATTGTTTTATTACTAACGGTATGAAGTATATACCTATGTCTTTTTAGTTTTCTCGTGGTTTCGTTTTTTAACTTGTATAAGATTAAGAATATAAATTCATTGTATTTGCGCAGAAATGAAAATAATTTCTCATCGGTCAAACTTTAAGTGCTTAGACGGTAACGAAAATGATTTTAAAATGTTCGTAACACAAAAAAAAAATCGTGTTATACATTCAATAGTATGTATAACTTATAAGCGTATACAATTTTACATTGTGTATATCATTAATAATTTAAAATTAATATAATATTTTTTGCTTAGCTTATGCATTGTTGTTCATTTTATTAATATTATATAACTATAAGATATTATTTCGAGAAGTAAAATATGATATCAATGCGTAAATTGATAAAACTATACTCGATTTGATTTCTGTTTTTTAAAATATGAAAAAAATATAAAAACGAAACAACAACAAAAACTATCTAATTTATCAGGATACGGAAAAAGATTCAAATTCTTTCATTTTTTTCTCCCTTATTTTTACCATTATACAAACGTTTAAGTTTATCTTGGGAATAATGCCCAGTTTTATCTCATTAGACAAATTAGACCTTTAAAAAATCCCATTACGTATAACGAAACTATAATAATATTCCTTATGTCAGGTCGGAAACGGCCTCGGTTGAAAATTAAGACTAATTAGCGCCGGGAGGAGCAATGGTAGAAAAAAAAAGATGACATTTCTTTTCCTTCTTTCGCCCCATATACCGTACTCATCCCTTTTAAAACGGCCGCTTATATTAATTATAACACTAAAATTCGCGTAATGACTGATCCAGAGCCGCAATATATCAAAAAGAACCCCAAGGATAAAGAAAAAAAAAACGGTAATTAAGTAATATGTCTTACTGGCCGTAGTGGCTTAATTATACCCTTGAAGCCAAACACACATTTTTTTTTGCATAATAAATTACTTAAAAATGTCGCTGAGCATTACTGTGAAATTGGCCCTTTCTAGCAGAAATTGGTAGAATGAAAATGTACAGACAGTGTAATAATATGACGCGGTCATACTTATATTAATTTAAATGAAAATCCGATTTTATAAAAATTTATTGATTTTCGTTTTATATATTTTAAACACTATGATACCTCTGTTTATATTTTTTCTAAAACTAAAAATAAAAAAATGTTCTTACAAAATAACTACTTTATAAATATATTTTTTTTATAAAATCTCAGTGTTCCAAACATTTTCTAATGAAAAAATTATTTTTTGAAATTTACGGTACTTCAAATTATTTTCGTGGCCACTACTAAATTATATAAATTGTATCAATTGATTCACCAATTTTTCGATGAAAAATAATTTTGCTAACGATTCTTGTAGACTTTGAAAAACTGCAGAAGCTAAACGACGTGACATTAGTAAATATATATGTAACACCGGAATTCGGTTTAAAAATGTATTTATAAAAAATGGCCATGTCCATGATTTTTATTTTGTATTTAAATATATTTAAAATAGGCTTTGGTATAATAATTACAAAAAACACAAAAAAAAAAAAACTATAAAAAATTGAACGTAACAAAAGTTAGTGCATTTATCAGAATTCCGTGGGACACCATGTATATATATATATATATATATATATATACTTAGATAACAATATAAAAAGTTTGGCGTTTTATCTATTTTATACCGGAAAAAAAAACCCCGAGTATAATATTTTAAACAATTCCTGAAGGAACACGGCCACATTACGTACAATAAATATGCATAAACATGTCGCGAGTCGAGAAAAAAATATAGACACGTTTCCATAACGTACAGTCGTGTCCACGGTCGCGTAAGAGAATAATATAATATATGACAATCATATATTTTATTTTTCTTCTATATATTCTTCTACTGTAAAGTTACATACGTAGGAGGTGTACATGATGAATACATCACGAAACGTCATAGAACTTTAAATCATTTCGCGTTTTTATTAAACCCCCTCGGTTTTGTGCGAATGGCCGTGTCCCGTTTCGCCGCCGTTCCATTTTGTCGAATTTATTTTTTAAATATGCTTGAATAATAGTACAATTTTAAATTCATAAGAAATTGATTACACGCACGTATACTGATAATCGAAAAATAATAGTTATCTGTTTTACTTCATAGATACTTATAAAGTACCTGTACGTCCGTTATACTTTGTAAAATTGTTATGGGTCACTTACATAATTTTATTCGGAGTGACTTTATATCATTTAA